GGGGAACAAAAAGAGAAAAAATCGCCCTGGCTTCCTTTCGCCTGGCCACCTCCTTCCCTATCTCCTCCGTCCTCCTTCCTCCGCCCGATTTGCACTGACCTCCTCCTTTCCCCAATCTCCTTCCTCCCCTTCCTTCCTTGGCCCGATCTCCACCTGACCTCCTGCTTCCGGCCTACTCTCTGCCGACTTTCCCCTGCCTACTGGCCTCCTCTGCACCTTCTCTTCAACCTCCCTCTGGCCTCCGTCCTCCCGGCGCCCTCATTCCCCTTCGTTCGCCCGATCTCCTTCCTCTGTCTGATCTCCTCCTTCCCCCGATTTCCTTCCTCCCCTTCCTTCCTCAGCCCGATCAGCACCTGACCTCCTCCTTCCATTCCTCCCTCCGGGAACCATGTAGAGCACCAACGGTTGTAGAGCACCACAGAGAGAGAGAGAGAGAGCTAGGGTAGGAGGGAGCAGTCGAGTGCCGTAGAGTGCCGTAGCCATCCATAGAGCACGTAGAGGGGAGAGAGAGAGAGAGAGAGAGAGAGAGAGAGAGAGAGAGAGAGAGAGAGAGAGAGAGGAAGGGCAGGGGGGAGCAGTCAAGTGCCATAGTGTCATGTCGTCCAGTGGTGGCAGAGCGCCCGAAAAAGTGGGGCGGGCGATTTCAGGGCTGGGCGCGGGGCACGCGTTCAGAAGTGGTGGGCAGGCAGGCTGGAAACAACGAAAAACAACGAAAAAAAAAAAGAAAAAAGAAAAAGCGGAAGACCCGTTTTTGCAGGCCGTTTCAGGCCATGTGCGAACCGGTATCACATGGCCCAGATTGCGGGCCGGTCACCACCCGCGGACAGCCCTGATCACAGGCCGATGAGAAAAGTTTCTCATCCGCTTTTCTCATCGGCCTGCGATCGGGGCCGTCCGCAGCCGGTGACCGGCCCGCAATCTTATGTTAGCGATTCTTATATTATTTTAGATGTAGATGTACATACCATTTTCTGCCTTTCGGGTAAAAAAATCAAGTGGAATATCTGTTCTGATCAGTTTTTTGTCTGATCTACGGTACATCGAAACACATTGAAATAGCCAAAAAAAGAAACGAAAATGAGAACAAAATGGTAAGGAATTCCGATGTGACCCCAAGGCAAAAGTTGTTCAATTTTTTTTTTTTTATATAACAATGATAACACTAGATGACCTTTCGCGGCTTCGCTCAATACACTAAAGGTTGAGGCAACCAACCAACACAAACTCTCTCTCTCTCTCTCTCTCTCTCACGCACACGCACACACACAAACGGACAGAAGTGGTAAATAGAGAAAACGAAGAAAAATATCACGCCCCCCTTCCTTGCTTCTACCTTACCCTCCCCCCTCGCTTGTTCACCATCTCTCTCTCTATCTCTCTCTCTCTCTCTCACACACACACACACACACACACACACACACACAGAAACATACAGCAAAAAAAAAAAAAGAAAAAAAAATAAAAAAAAATTGAAATCGCTTCGCGCCTTCAACGCCCCAAGGCCCCCTCCTCTTCCTCATAGCCCTCCCCTCTTCCTCGTCCCCCCACCTCTCTCTCTCTCTCACACAGACGAACACACACATACGCGAACATACAAATAACATAAAAAAAGAAAGAAAATGAAAAAGAATTGTGCCATGAAACCACGTGGTGCGATACTATATGCCGTGATTTCGCACCTTTGACTTTTAGCGGAGTTGCAACCTTCTTCTTTTGAATGGTGGACGATCTTGAATTCTTTGGACATTCGTCATCATCTTCTTTTCATGGTCGATCTGGCAGATTATCAGTAATAGGAAATTGAACCTAGTCTTGTTCATGTTTCTGTAGATCAGAACTCACAGAATAAGAAGAAACACCCCAAATAATTTAAGGGAAAAAAAAACAGTACTTAAAAAAAATCTCTATTTTTTATAGGGAAAAAAAATTACAAATTGGTGGAAGGAAGAAAGGCAATGAGAGATCAACAATCTTAGTTTTGCTGACATATGATTCAATACAACACTTAGAAGCAGACGCCACATAATGGTCGTGGAGCATCCCCGGTAGACTTTCACCCATAGCAAGGAGACACTCCTCAACAGACTACACACCCAGATTGGGATATAAATGATTCAACAAACCTCAATCAATTTCAAGAATAATTAAAAAACGATGGGAAAAACATGAGAGCACACTAGATGCAGCTGTGGACCCCTACTAGATGGAGCTGTGGACGGTTTTTTTTGTTTTTTGTTTTTTTTTTCACCGCCTAGAGCCTAAGGGTAGGAAGTTTTCAATGATGTATGTGTTACTGATCATCTTACCTCATGTTGTGCTTGAATCTGGCAAACCATTTGAAGCGCTGCTCACAGATGGACATATTCGCGGACTTCAAATCATCGTAGTTCAAAGGGCTGACATTTTTCTTGCACCAATGCCCGACATGATTCTCAAAATGGAACTTATCAACTGCACAATACAAAAAAACGCATTAGGATAGGAACTACGACATGATTCTCAAAATGGAACTTATCAACTGCACAATACAAAAAAACGAATTAGGATAGGAACTATGTATGATAAGAAGTTTTAAACTCATGCGCAACCCCCTAAACTTGGAAACTGGGGGAATTGGGGGGTGATGGTAAAAGAACTAACCTGCTCAAGGGCGTATTCATTCTCCTACAAACAGCGGGAGTCGGATACCCTGCCAGCATTCACTTCGTTCCCAATTACCTCATCAACACAAAGGCTTCTCTTCCATTCTAAACAAGGAGGTGAAAAGCACAGCTCATGGTCCATTTGTTCTCAGAAAAAATAAGAATGCTGGCAGACAATCCTCCACAATGCTGGAGCAATCAATGTTGTTCAGGGGTCCTTCGGCCAATTCGAAGGAAGCATGAGGGTGTTTCATATTGTAATTCCTGAGTTGTTGGTGGAATATGATCCGGAGTGATGCTCCCCATAATAGATATGGAGCGGGCATAAGAACTCCTTTTTGTTGAAAAAAATAAATAAAAAAAGACTCGTGTGCAGCCCAAGTGAACAACACACACATACATACACAATCATGTTAAGAGCATCGTGCGAGCCTTCTATTGAGCAATTAGGGGTATGTGTGTGTATGTGTGTGTGTGTGTGTGTGTGTGTGTCTTTGTGTATGTGAGAGAGAGAGAGAGAGGGAGAGAAAGAGAGAGAGAGAGAGAGAGAAAGAAAGAAAGAAATATTCCTCTTGATGATTATCTTCTTGTTCCTCTCTCCTCCTCTTCATTCTCTTATTCATGCTCCTCTCTCTTCTTTTCATTTGTTCAACATAGTTCATTCCTTCGTTGGTAATACAAAGATCTTCTGCAAGGAAGTGCAAACTTACCCACATGATGAACTTTTTCAAGATCTGTGAATTCCGTTGTCTTGGAAGTTGCATTCCGTCGTTTCTCATTCAGAGCAAAACGAAGAAGATGACACATGTCATCATACCCAATATATTCTGGAAATTGATGGTTTGCGAATAATGTCAACAAGTAATGATATACTTGTGTACATGATTCAGCCAGAACCATTTCCAAGGGTGGGAACATGAACCCGCATGCCCAGAAACAATGCACAGTGCCACATGTGTTTTTTTTCTTGTCGTCCAAAGTTCTTGGCGTGCAAGTTGTCCTATCAAGCTTTGAAGCTTTCCTTCTCTGAGCTGCCTCCTCTGTCATGTCTTCTTCTTGAATGGTTGGGTCCTCGTAAAAATCCAATGGCAATTCCGTATCTTTGAATCTGTTTAGGATTTCCTCTCCATTTTTTCCTCCAAAATCGCTTTCGGTGCACCATAATGACTTTGAGTATGGTTGAGATTTCCACTTCACAAGATACCAGATGTTCTGCAACATAAAAAAAAAACAAAGACAAAATTAAAAAGAGTTCACGAAAAAAACGAGATGTAATGACGCGCCAAAAACACACAGACTGAGAACACTTCTGATTTTTGGGATTTGCCACTGGAATAAATGCCTTGCTGAAATTCCCGCATTCTGTTGTGATTTCCATGTCTGTGTGTGTGTTCGTGCCTGCTGGTTTGAATGCCTGTCTGAGTGCTTGTCGGTTGAGTGTGTGTATGACCCGCGAGGGTACTTGTTGGTTGAAGGGCCCCTCAGGACCGGTACTTACCTGTGGCCGTGACTTTGAGGGTTGCAGGCGGAAAACACTCAAGTAGCGGGGTAGGCCCGCAACACTTAGAACAGCAGGGAAAAACACTCAAGTAGGAGGTAGGCCGGTACCACTCAAGTAGTGGTAGGGGTGTCGGGTACTGGAGGCCGAGCAGAAGAAGACAAAAAGTTGGTATTTTTAGAGGCCCAGTAGCCGTAGGATAGCGGTAGGCCAGTACCAGTCCAAGTAGCCCGGGTCTAGGGCCTGTACGGAGGTTAGCAGAGCCTGCAATGATGTTTCGCTTCAAAAGGGAGGAGGTTCCGGTTGCTGGGAGGCCCCTCGGCCTAGGAAGTCACCTCCCAGGAGGCCGGTAGGCAGCTATATCTCCAGGAAGAGCAAGCAGCTCTTCCTCATTTGCGATGTGCAAGGATTGGCGACATGCTGCTGGAGCGCAGCGCTGGACTGAAGCAGCGCTGCTCGGAGGTGAAGGACCGCTGCACCTCAGCCTGGCTATGGCGAGCAGTCCAGCTTGAGGAGGAGGAAGAAGGGGGCATGGTAGGAGAGTAGCGGGGCACTTACCTGGCTATGGTAGGCACCATCTTCATCACCTTGTTGGGCGTTGCATCTGGAAGGCCCCAGTTGGGGTACTACGGCACCACGGAAGCTCGAGGCAGAGTCAGGCATAGCGAACCAAGTCAGCAGCGGCATAGCTGCTTTGGGTAGTCCTTTGGACATCAGCGCAGCACCATAGCTGCTTGGGTTGTCCTTTGGACATCAGCGCAGCACCCTAGCTCCTTGGTGTAGTCCGGCATACCCTGTGCATGAGAGAGGAGGCTGAAGGAGGGAAGCCATAGCTATGGTGGACTGGTTGTTGTTGTTGAGTTGAGTCAACAGTAAGAGTGAACTTCGGATATTGGTTCTGGTTCATCCATTCATTGTTATTATTATTATTGACAGAAGAATAAAATTGGTGAAGAGAAGGAGGAGGAGGAAGGTGGAGAGAGTGAAGGGGGGAATTGTCATTGGTCTTGCTGGTGTCTTCTTCTGGTCTTTATCTCTTTGCAAGTGATTTCATTTCTTTTGCAATTGGGTGGCATTGTCTTTCATTGTGAATTTGCACTTGGGAAATGAACAGGATCATAACAGAGAAAAAAAAAATTGTTCATAAGGAAATAACCTAGGCAAAAGTTGTTCACTCTATTTTATCTGCGTGGGTAATATGATTTACTCTTTTGACTTCCAGGGGGAATAGGAACTGGACTGATGCTCCCCATAATGGATATGGAGCTAGGAGCATGAAATAAATAAAAAAAATACTCACGTTGTTGAACTGCTCCGATTTGATGATGCACTCTGCATTGGCCATGCTGGTTGCAGACTTCAGTCTAGTCCGTGATGCAATGGGGTCTTCTGAACATTTGGGAATAGCCGATGATGCACTGGGTGCTTGAGAACAACTGGGAATATCATCCGAGGCTGGAAATTTTTGTGCACGTTCACTCTTCTGTTGCTCTTATCTCTCGTGATATTGTAAAGGGCACCATTTCTTCCCAGCGGCCAGTGTCTCTGGACATCCTTTCACAATTTTCCCAATTGCGGTGTGATACAATGTGACATCTTGCTTGGCACATCTTGTCCTGCACACTTTGAAATGCCCATCCACTTGACAATATCTTCCACAACGTTCAACATTACACTTTTCGGGGTGATTTTGTGCCTCCTCAAGAAGATGAAACCAGAACTGATCTTGAAGCTGTAAACACACAAAAAAAAAAGAAAACAACTTGTAAGCTGAATAGTCTTTCAGGATGGGGTTGAGAAGGAATGGATGGAAAGGAAAACAATGAACAGTTGCATGGGGAGGGTTGTGCGAAATGTTTACTGATGTGAGGAGGGGGAGTAGAAGGAAAAAGCAGTAAGAGGGAGGGGAAGGGATGGACTAAATTTTTTATATATAAAACAGTAGAAGGAGGTATCACCAAAGAAAGGCATAAGATGACGAATCTCTCTCTCTCTCTCTCCCTCTCTCCCTCTCTCTCTCTCTCTCTCTCTCTCTCTCTCTCTCTCTCTCTCTCTACCTTTCACAACACTGGGATCAGAGACAAGAATGAGCCAGTTTGTGGAAACACAGGGCGACAGCACTGGCTGCAAAGATTTTCACGATGGGGATCGAAGGTCTGAAGACCTTCGTGAAGGAATTGGGGAGAGACACCGGAGAATCCTTACTCAGCCAGGCTCCTTTTGCAGCTCCTGGGTGAGCGCACCCGTTCGTTTCAAACGAACGGGGAGGCATGACTGCGCCAAACTGTTTCGTCGACTCCCACCAACTCGTCAGGAGGCTGAACCTCGACGGTCAGTCAGTTTGGCTGGTCGGCCGAGTGAATCAACGACCGGAATGCAGCTGTGTGCGGAGAGAGAGAGAGAGAGAGAGAGAGAGAGAGAGAGAGAGACAGAGAGAGAGAGAGAAACAGGCTGGCGGGAACTTAAGCAGGCAAAACTCTAGTTGCTTGGGCAGGGGTGACGGGTGGTACATCCTACAGGAAGTAATGAATGTCGTCATTTGGACCTTCACTCCATAAGGGGGAGGAGCGTGTGTGAGTAATCATTGTAATTTTTTCTAATTTGTCGTTGTGGAACAGGAACCGGATAGATGCTCCCCAGAATGTAGGAGGAGTCTGAACCCTAAGGTTCTGTTTCCAGGGGGGGGGGGGGGGGGGGGGGAAAGACAGAGTTATCGCATCGCGTAGCATGCTTGCTGACTGGCTTCCCTTCCCCCATCTTTCTCTCCCTGTCTCTCTCTCCCCTTCCCTTGCCACCACCACCTCGTCTTCTCCACAAGCCTTTGCTACTTCCCTTCTTGACCTAATGTTTTCATCTTCTCCTCCTCGTCTCTGCCCTCATTATCAACTTCGATTTCATACCCTCTGATCCCTCTTCTTCTTTTGGATCTCTCTCATTATGTTCCTCCTCCCTCCTCCACCTCCTCATTGTCTCGGTTCTCCTCCACGATTTATTCCTCCTGGTCTTGCTGTCTTGCTGCTCTCTCTCATCCTACACATGTTATTCCTTCTCTCTCCTACTTGTGGGAATCGCCTTACTCGTCCTCTTGCTCCTGCTCTTCCAGCACCTCCTCATCAATGAGATTTATCAAATGGTTAATAATAGGTTGAAATTAACAAGCATTTTTTTGTGTGAGTGCAGGTTATGGGTAAGAATAGGTTGAAATGCATAGCACCTGTGAAAGTATTTCATCAATCTTCATATGATAATCGATGAAATCTATCAAATGTGCGCAATGCCTTTGCGGAAAGATTGCTGCCCTTCATCGAAAGTATGCATCTTCGAGCCTTTGTCGATTGATAGCATACCGATCCGTGTGTTTATGCCTGGAGACATCTTTTCGTTGGTCTTCAATCGTAAGGAATCTTGTTAGCCATTCTCTGTCATTATGAATTGTTGTTGAAATTTCGAAGCCCGCATGTGCTTCATAACTGCACATCAAGAAAGACAACAGAAACCATACGCCGATTAGTAAGAAACATGTGGTGCAATCAATGAACTGTGAGATAGTTACTAGCGATAACCTAGCACAATTTTAGAATAATTGGAAATTACATAAGTTGGAAAAAACAACGAAAAAGCTATGCTGATTTCCTGGGCACCCCGGGTCCCCAGACCATGACCGGAATGGTGCCCGGGTGCCCGGTTGGGTATGAGGCCCGGGCAGGCCCCCGGACGCTCTCCGCGGTGCCAAAAACAAATATTGAAAACGGGTGCTGGGGGGGCGCTGTGGCATGGCGGGGCGGCACAGGGCCCTACAGACCGCCAAAAACAAATTCCGCGGAGGCCATACCGGCCCCACGCAGAAGTAAAAGTAAAGGCGATCTCAGGTCCTTGGTCTGCAAGATCGAGGGTCTGAGATTGCCCTTTTTTTTTCCCCATTTGGCAAGGGTCACTGCGCAATTTCGCGTGGCCATTCCACTTTGAATCCTAGCGCAAAATCACACGACACTTCTCTCCAGACAGGAAAACACTTGTCGACTCGTTTGCCATTGGCCATCAGCCTTCGCCCACTCATTTGCCTCTGTCCATCGCCCTTGCCTGCTCCACATCGCCATTGGCAGGTAAGTGAGCGAGTTTGGGTGTATGTGTGTGTGTGTGTGAGTGTGTGTGTGTGTATGTGTTGCAAGACCTCCTCCTCCTTTTTCCTCTTTTTCTTCTTCTTCTTATTTGTGTTGCTTCCTAAAAAAAAATAAAAAATTGTCATGTCGTTGCAACAGACATCAAAGACCGTGACACACATCCATTGCAACATACATCGAAGGCCGCGATACCCATTGACGGCAACAGAGAGACAGAGAGAGCTTCCTCCTCCTCTTCTTCTTCTTCTTCTTCTCTTTGCCATCGTCCTCCTCCTCCTCCTCCTCCTCTTCTTTGCAATCCTCCTCCTCCTCCTCCTCCTCTTGCTCCTCCTCCTCCTTTTCTTCTTCTTCTCTCCATCATCCTCCTCCTCCTCCTCCTCCCCCTCCTGCTCTGCCTGTAGTTCTCCTCCACCGTCTGTGTTAATTTTTTTCTCTTTCATCTTCCTTCCACTTCATCCTCGTCATCCTCCTCCTCCTCCTCCTCCTCCTCCTCTTCTTCTTCTTTTTCTTCTACTTCTCTTTCTTCCTCTTCTTACCGTCACGTTCTTCTCCTTTCACTTCATCATGTTTTATTTTTCACACTTCAATAGTTCATCCTCCTCCCTCTTCCTTCTCCCCATCCTCCAGCTCCACCTTCTCCTCCCACTCCTGTACTTCTCCTCCACCACCTGTGGCATTTTGTTCTTTCTCCTTACATTTTCCTTCCACTTCCTTCTTGCCATCCACCTCCTCCTCCTCCTCCTCCTCCTCCTCCTCCTCCTCCTCCTCCTCTTCTTCTTTTTCTTATCACCACTTGCTTTAACTCCAAGGCTCCACCTCCTTTGCCTTTTTTTTCCTTCTTTTCGCACCTCCTTTTTGTAGGCCATGGCTTCCTCGAGCTGTCCTTGTGGCAGCACGGGTGCACCTGGCAGCGATGGAGGTGGGGGCGGCAAGGTCAGACGTGGCAGCAAGGGCAAGCAACATCTTCCTGCAGAACAATACCCTCCCCGTCCTCCCTGCAAAACAATATCCTCCCCATCCTCCCTGCAAACCCCCCCCCCCCCTCCCTCAAAACTGAAATCGACGAAAAATCTGAAACACCCCATATTTGAGCTGTTTAGGCAGGGCACGGAATGGCCGTAAGGCAAAAAAAAATTAAAAAAAATTACTGTGTTTTTTCCCACGCCCGGTTGACCCGGGCATCACGAGCGACTCGGGTGCCCGGTCAGACGTAACGAGCCAGGCGTGGAAATCTTCATAGGAAAAAAGGTGATAAGGAACCTCGTGGCAAAAAAAAAAAAGCAACTCATGAAATTAAATTGAATTTCAATTTTTTCGAAGAACTTACAACAATTGGTCATGTTGTCGAAGAAGGTTGACACTGACGATTGTCTCGTAGTTGAGCTGAAACCATTCCTCGTGTTTCTTTGATGTCTTGTAGATTCTCCTTTCACCATTTGCCAATTCGTAGAATGAGTGTGAAAACGTAGTTGAACATTGGGAGCAAATCTTGTCAAAAAGCAGCCCCATGCAAGGCATGCCTTACATTTGGGTAGAAGAATGGGTTGGATGGTTTATCAGCAAGCGTAACAACTCCTCCACATTCCAAACAATGGTCAATGGATGAAATCAGCACGAACTCTGAGCCTGTGCAGTGCAAAGCATACATGGCGGTAAGAACCGGGTTTCTAAAAAGAAGAGGGTCGTAACAATGCATTTTCGTGAGAACATTTGTGACTTCACCAACAGTGTAATCACGCTGCTTCAATGATGAAGATCGACAATTGAGCGCTTGCTGCACATAACCATAAATGTTTGGCATGTCATCCGAAAATATGTTAAATATATGGATTGCAACAAATGCATCAAGCAAGGGCATAGGGGTGAAGAATGTCATCTAAGGTCATGTTGTGATCCAAATGGAATGCCTTTGAAATAATAATGAAAAAGTAATAATTTTACGAGGTTAATATTGAAACGGTTTTCACCTTTTAGTAAAAGCGGATGCAGTACTCAGAGTTCGATCCCTAGACCTCACCCTACACCTGTACAGTATTTGTGTGAGAGACAGGTGTGCGGAGAGAGAGAGAGAGAGAGAGAGAGAG